ACTTTTTTATCAGTGGCACAGGCCTACCCGACCGTGCGTTCAGAACAATTTACAACACACAATACAAATATAAAAGAACAAAAACAATATATCAAGTGAATATGATAAAGAGAGACAAAGGATTTCAATGATCATAGGGCACATATTGTTTATGCACATGCCATTAGAAGATAATTACACACATATAATGTGTTAATGATGCATAAACAAACAATTGCAGCCCACAGTTCAAAGGGGTCCATTTGTTAATAACCCGCGAAGAAATAAACTATTATTATTGGAGATTTGATAAGTACTTAAATTGCAAATTCTTTGAAGAATAAACTATAACTGAGACTTAAGATGCAAACCTTGAATAATAAACTATTTGATATTAAATAAAATTGCATTTATTTTGCCCGATGATTATTAGACCACCCTGTATAAAATTAATGTTGTCAATTGTCACTAAACAACACTTGGATTGCGTTTCGTCATAGATTATGCCCAATACTTGAGATAAAGTTGTTATTTATTTACAATTGGAGCTGATAAATGTAACAGCAGTGAAATTTTGCATGTCTGTTTACACACCCTGTATATTAAATATTACTCTGAAACATTTAAAAAACGGTTTTTAAAACGTTTCAACCAAAATGTTTCGAACGGAACCAATTTAAAACCAATTAAAATCTGAATCCAACTTTGTAGACAAATGACAGAATCAAGGTTAATTAAGGGGTGGTGCAATAATTATGTGAAATATGGGGGGGGGGGGGGCAAAGATTTTTAGGCAAGCCAAAAGGGGGGGGGGGCAAGCAATTTTTGGCATACCTTTTGGTGAAACCATTTTTAAATTTTGCTCTAAAAGGGCTTGGAAAAACCCTCAAGCAACGTTCAAATATGCAAAAAGCTTGCCCGATCGGGCAGAGATCTTGCAAATCACAATTGCCCCGACCAAAAAAATTATTGCCCCGTGCTATCGGACAGGCGATTCATCGGAGCCTGCACAGATTTATGTGTACATTCATTCATTCATATGCACATGTATTTTCTGTGTGTACAGTGATAATGATTGGTGACTCACATTTTCCATTTCATTCGCAGGTAGTTGAAGCAACATCAAGAAAAGCTAAAGTCATTTACTTCCCTGAACTGGATGATGTCGTGCACTTAAACATTCACAAAATTACTGCACTCCCTCGAGCCTTGCCCATAAGTACGAAAAGACGTAAAAAAAAAAGCCTTCAAACAAGCTAAAGCAGAAGAAACACCTACAGAGACGTCAACACCAGGGACCAGAAGAAAGGTAAAAATTACTGCAGCCTTGCCAAAAAGTACAAAGGCTCGAGAAAAAAAAAAGGGCATTTAAGCTAGCAAAAACAGAACTTACAAAGACGTCAAAAGAAGAAGCACCAGTGATGTCAGTAGAACCTACAGAGATGTCAGCACCAGCGACGTCAACAGAACCTACAACAGAGTCCGCTAGGGCACTGGAAACTATTCTCTCAACCAAATTTTCAGAGAACTGCCCTGTCAGAAAATATAGATTTCATTAAAATAAAAGTGTCAGCGGCCATAGCGGACTAGTCTTCCGCAGACCCAAATTTTCCTTACTCCATCATATATATATGCCCTACAATCCATGGGGGGGGGGGTCAACTTTGAAGGAGTCCGCTAGGGCACTGGAAACTATTCTCTCAACCAAAATTTCAGGTCTTGTAGAGGAAAAACTGCCGTCAGTTGAAGGGAAGAGCTGTTGCAAGACGAACTGGCATCGACGACTTCAAAGTAAGTGCTTCCTGGGCATACCGCTTCATGGGCCGCCACGGGTTGTCCGTTAGTCGTCGGACACACATCGCACAGCGTTTGCGGGACGATGTTGACGAGAAGACCCGCCTGTTCCAGCAGTTCATCATCAAGCATCGCCATCAGCATGACTACCCGCTGTTCAGGATTGGGAACGCCGACCAGACACTGTTGACCTTTGATATTCCCAGGGCATCAAGCGTCGCAACAAAGGGCAGTAAGACGCTCAGCGTTACTACCACTGGCCACGAGAAGGACATGTTTACTGTCATGCTGGGCTGCACGGCAGATGGCGGGAAGCTTCCACCTTAAACAGAAGACGCTTCCAAAAGACAAGTTCCCGCCGGGCATCAAAGGGCGCTCGTCAAGGGCGCTCGTCATTGACTGGCTCCATACAGTGTGGGAGAGACGGGTCTGCGGTCTTTCTCGGAGGAGGAGTATGCTTGTGCTTGACGGTGCCACAAGACTGAGAAGACCAAGGCGGTACTTAAGCGGAGCAACACAGACCTTACGATGATGCCTGGCGGCCTGACATCGCTTCTGCAGCTGCTCTCTCCGACGAGGACTTCTTCTGATTCTAGCTTCTGAGCTACCCCTAACCCAAGGGCCCTTTTAAGGGCCACCAAATGACAAGAAAGATTAAATTCAAATTCCCCTTTATCCATCTTCTATTCTTTGTTATCTTTTCTTCTTTGGTCGGCTCTTTAAACACATTCTTTGTCGCAAACTTTTCCAATAAATAAATAAAGATAATAAACATTAATCAAATATGATTTAAAACCAACATTGTTACTTTTCCCCTCTCTCCATCTATTCTTTGTTTTCTTTTCTTCTTTGGTCGGCTCTTGAAACATATTTTTTGCCGCAATCTTTGCAAAAAAGATGATAAACATAAATCAAATATGATTTAAAACTCACATTGGTACTATTATTTGTGACGAGTTCACAAGCACAAATCGGCTCCTTCAACTGCGCCTCGTAAAATGGGTTTTGAATGCTGAAATAAGACGCCATCTGGCTTGCTGCCTACAGAGTCGGCCAAAAAAACCTTTAAAAAAAAAACTCTAAAAAAAAAAGTTATGTTTTTTTGTGTTTTTTTTTTTAATCTAAAAAAATAGGGGTTAGCCTTATACACAGGTGCGCCCTAATACACGGAGATTTACGGTAGTCATATTGAAATTACCCAGGTCCTCTACCAGAAGAAGAGGAATGAAATTCCTCCTCAACTGACAAGGGGAAGGATCACAAATACAATGACACATAGAGGAATGAATACAGTAACAAATGTAATAACAAAAACAAAGAAAATCAACCAAAAAAAATGAAAAAACGAAAATACAAACAAAAACAACTTAATAACATATGTGAAAATCATACTGAATTTTATATATCGCAATTAATTAGCATGGTGTTATTAGAGTTCGATTACGAGTCAATGAACAACAACACAGTTTAGATTTTTTGTTGCTTAAAACTTACTATACCAATATTAACCTTATACTTAATCACATTACAATTCTCCTCTCTCATGTTTTACAGCAGAAATAATTGCTTATTCCACATCTTTGTTCGGGTGGTTAAGAATGTTATCAAAGACTGCCATAAAAACCCTGTCACGGAGGAAGTGTCGGCAAGATTTCAAGAAGCGTTGGTGCATCGTCATCTTCAGCCCATGGGCAACGAAAGAGTTATACTTTCTGAACAATTGAGCAAATGGTTATTGGACTAGAGATTAGCTTACAGAAATTGCGAGAACTCTCGCAAATTAAAATGTGAACGAAGCGGATTCTGCACAATAGGTCGCTTTTACTTGGATTTGGGGGCAGGTTGCACCAAATTGTCAGGAAGGCCATACAAAGCATGTGGACCAGACTTTCGAAACTTGAGCCCAGATACCAATATAGTCAGCAAGGAGGCTTTTACTATCGGTAACGAAATATGTTCTCATGGTAAATAAACATATAAATATGCAAGCAAAAATAATAGTAAGAATAAAAGTGAAGCACTTAGTAGTATAAAATTAGTAATGTAAGAGCCATTCAAGAATCAACAGCTGTTTCATTTAAATATTTTGTATCAATCGCTTACAGATAGAATCTACTATAATGTCATAACAATTGTTCATGATTCATGACTCATAATTATAAAAACTAGAACTGTTAGGCACTTTAAAAATGTGCATCTTAAGGAAATTATTATAGTACTGCTTGAAGGAAGACTTGGTCCAATGTATAAAGAGTTAGGACTGATCTAGATCAATTGCAAAATTACCAGACATCAAAAACTATAATCATATCGATTGTTCATGATTCACGACTCATCATTATGAAAAAAATAAAACCGATGGGCACTTTAAAAATGTGCATCCTACTGGAATTATTATAGTATTGCTTCAAGGAAGACTTGGTCCAATGTATAAAGAGTTAGGACTGATCTAGATCAATCACAAAATTACCAAACATCAAAGACTATAATCATATCGATTGTTCATGATTCACAACTCATAATTATAAAAAATAAAACCGATGGGCACTTTAAAAATGTGCATCCTACTGGAAGAATTATAGTATTGCTTGAGGGAAGACTTGGTCCAATGTATAAAGAGTTAGAACTGATCTAGATCAATCGCAAAATTACCAAACATCAAAGACTATAATCATATCGATTGTTCATGATTCACGACTCATAATTATAAAAAATAAAACCGATGGGCACTTTAAAAATGTGCATCCTACTGGAAGAATTATAGTATTGCTTGAAGGAAGACTTGGTCCAATGTATAAAGAGTTAGGGCTGATCTAGATCTACCGCAAAATCCCAAAACCATCATAACCTTCCATCTCTGATATAAAAGCTGATACCGTTATCATATTAGGAAAGGTGATCAATTCTACTTACTGCAAACTTTCTTATAAGACTGGGCACTAACCCCTGTCTTCTTATAGAGTTACACTTGATCCAAACCAAATCGAGTTGTGCTTGATTCTGATCCACCTGGGGGGTGTTTCACATAGATCCTAAGTAGAACTTAACTTTAAGTTGGACTTAAAAATTATGGACAGCCATTGGAGTCTTAAAATGAAATATATTTAAAAGCAGAAATTCAAGTATTTTAGACTTTTTATAAATTCCACATCCAGAACATGAAATCTCCTTGATGATAGAAAATATGAATGATTTGAATCAACATTTTATGCCTTTCAAAATAAATTTTACAAAATATTTTCAAAGATGCTAATGGCTTTCCATAATTTTTAAGTTCAACTTAGAGATAAGTTCAACTTAGGATCTTTGTGAAACACCCCCAGAACTCAACATAAGACAGGGTCCTGGGCAATGACATATTACCCATAATTCAATGGTCTAAAGCATAGGGTTCAGAGGTCATAACCATACTTGAAAACATTTACTACAAAGCTCATAAAATCAGTGACTCTATGCCTGTGAATCAACATGATGTTGGTTATATGGTAAGATTCATATTGAGCTGTTGACAAGATTATCAAGTTAGATTTGCTTCACAAGATCTCACATGAAAATCATTGACTCTCTCTCTCTCTCTCTCTCTCTCTCTCTCTCTCTCTCTCTCTCCCTCTCTGGGAATCAAACTACATAATGTTGAGTACTGAGGTATCTGAGGTACATTTGATTCACAAGATTTTGCTTGCTTGACATGATTCTTGTCCTCTGCCATCTTGGTGTTCCCTTCTGGGGGCCATCTGCTATCTGGTGCTTGTCGAGTCCAATTCGTCTTCCAGGGCACCAAAGTCAATGGTCACTTTGCTCTGTTTAGGTATGTGTTGCCTGTGTGGAGATCAAAATACAATATACTGATAATTTTTTTGTTGATAGTTGGATATTTTTCCCCCAGTGATGCAAATGATAAAAGTGTTATGAATAAAGCTTTCAAGTTGACATCATATTCTCTTTCAAAATTAGGACATTACAGTTTAAACCCATCTCAAAGGCATTGTTTAACAATGCCAAGTCTGAGATGCATGGCCCTATGTGTTATCAGCGTCTGTGATATATTATAGTATTAATGACTGCTTTGAGAGAAATAGTTGTTTTTATACGCTCTCGGGAAGGTTAGAATTGTGCTATTACCCGAGGCGTGCCAAGGGGAATAGCCCAATTGTAACCTTCCCGAGAGCGTATAAAAACAACTATTTCTCGAATATTAAAGCAGTCATTAATGCTTTTATATGCCGAAAAAGAAAAAAAAAAAAAAAAAAAAAAAAAAAAAAAAAAAAACTTCGAAGATGGGAATCGATCTCTTGCGTATAAAAGGTGATGTAACTAAAGTCAGCGCCTCAAACCACTCGGCCAGCGCGCTCTGTCACCATGTATATTAGTTTTCTTTAATATATACATTAAAATGAATTGAAAACGGCTTCACGTGGTCAATGCTTCGCCGCTGCTCCATTAAACGGGCCCTTCTTTTACTTTTGCAATGCATATTGGCACGAACTTAGATAAGATCTATCGGCAGATGTTGTTTTTTTGTTTTTGGAAGTTTATTTTCGTCTTCATGTCAACAATACAAGATAAAATTGTGGGTAAGATCGATCGAGATTCAATTGTATTGAAATTACCGACCAATTCTTCGCACACGTACGGTATCCTCGATCGCTCAGACCATTTTTTAACATGTAAACCTATGGGGTAACCATGGAGACTGACCTATTTTCCCAATAACCATGGTTATTGGGATTTTGAACTGTTTTTTAACCATGGTTACCGGGAATTTTCGGGAACAGTTAAAGTTTATGAATGCAATTTCGACCAATCAGATTGCTGGATTACTTAAGTGAGGTATATAAGGTGTAATAATGAAGCCCTAAAAAAATTGACTTCAAAATGATTATGAAATGCCTCAAAAAGTAAAAATCTTTGAGTGACCGTTTTTAACATACTCATTTTCCCCAATAGACTGTAGTGTTATAAAAACTGTGATAGCAAGGTTGGATAGATGAATACATTGTACCAACATACCTGTATGGTATCCCTACAGCATCCAGCAACCGTCTGGATGCAACCATGGACGGCTTATCGTGCTTGGTGTCCGACATGTAGACGACCTCCTTGATCCCCGATTGCATGATGACCTTCGTGCACTCGTTGCAGGGAAAGAGAGCTACGTAGATGGTGCAGCCTTTTACCGACGCGCAGTTCTTGTTCATCACGGCGTTCATTTCTGCATGACATACTGTGTGAAGAAAAAAATCCAATTTTGTTAATACCAGAACCACAACATTCAATTCTACATATGATTCAGTCCTAAATCTAGTTTTTCCAGCCAAGGGATTCTATTAGATTCCAAAACAAAAAGAGTTGTCTCTGAGAGTGAAATTCTGCATGATTTAACAAGTATATTTATTTCTCATTTACAGACACTGAAATTATATCATTTTACTTCACTTAAACATAATTGTGTTCCTCATGCCACTAAATTTAATGTAAAGCTGACCCTGAAATTCTATTAATTCTATCATAATCAAACTGATTCCATTTACATTTTGTATCATTTGTTCAGATCAAAGGCTATAATGAATTTTTACACAAATTTAGAATAAGACCTACCATATGGAATCTTGGTCTCTAGCCAATCATCGTTTTTTCGTTGCCATGGTAATGCTTCATCACTGCATCCTCTAGGCATTCCATTATATCCGATGCCAACAATCTTATTTTCATCATTGACAATACATGCTCCAACCTGTTTTTTTTATAAATAATATAAAGGGAAAAAAGAAAGTTTTTAATTAAAAGTATTTGATGTTTTCTCTCAATTTTTCTATCCAACTGAAACAAATTTCAAAGTGTGCAATATCATCAAAGACATCAATAAATATGGATGCGAACATACCATACTTTTTATATTCTCATTTGATTCGCATCTGAAGTTCTGAACTGATAAGTATGGCGAGTGTTTGAGAAAGAAAGCCCATTTTTCATACTCTACATCACTACTTGAAAGAGTCGCACAAACAGAATTCACGACAACTGATAATTTTGAATTCTTGATATAAAGAAATAGGAATTAATGTTAAAACGGCTTTTCATAGACACGTATGATCAGTGGACGTTCACGCCATTCTCGTCCACTCAAACTAAAAATCCCTATTGGCTGCAATGTAGGACACTCATCTTTGAAATGAATAACAATGGCTACCTACTAATAGAAGTATAGAACATTTGGTAAAGCATTCAAACAATGGATATTCTCTCACAACATATGTGACAAGATATTTGGTTCAGCTGTTGCAAACATTTGAGCAGTTTCTTTTGTTATTAAAGCATCAGTTGTTGTTTGGTCAGAAAGCTCTTCCAATAGACCTAGCTGTTTACTAACATATTCAATAATTCAAATGTATGGATGTTTCTTTCCTAGGACCTAGTGACTCCAATAACCTTTTATTAATGAATGAAGTACAATACTTGGAATCCAGGATGCATGTCGGGCAAGCCTTAGGCAAGCTTTCAGATTGTCAAGAATGGTCTTTGTTTAATAATTATGCATAAAATTTGAATATATATATATTAGTAAACCCATCTATTGACCGGTTTACTAATATATTTAAATGCATGCATGTTTCTCTCCAGCATCCCTGTTATTTATTTGTTTCACCTGCTACACATGAAAGCATCTCTATAGATAATTGAATTAGCATAAATTCACTGTTGCTATGTCTGGCAATCTTTCACTTTCAGGTGTCAAGGGAAACCATTCTTCAAGAAGTATGCATAAAATTAGTAAACAGGTCACTTTAATACTCGGAAGAGAGACAAAGATATAACTGCTCAGAGAAATCACCTGTTTTTTTCTGTTTATCGGCTAATATTCGTTGCAACTCATTCTCCTTTAACATGTCAATCACTCCTAAAGGATTCTTTTTTTACCTGTGTGCGTGGATCTTTACTCCTCTGTGCCGATAGGAAAGCAACAGCCATGAAGTAATCGGCCCAATCAAGATAGTCCTCTCGCTTTACAGCCATTCTTGTCCTTCCTCTTAATACTGGGTTTCTGAAATAAAAATTTAACAGAGCGATTAAACATTTTCACAAGTTATCATCATATCATTAAAAAGTTAAATATAATAGAAATAAGTAACAACAAAAAAAGAAGATTAAAGCTAATCTTGAGCTCTGGTATGGCCGTATGGGAATCATATTTTTTGAGAGAAATTTGCTATGACTTATTCTGGATTATTTATCCTGCAGTAAAATGGCTGTTTAACCAGTGAAATAAAAAACAAATGCACACAAAATTACTGGGCATCATCTTCGATAAAAACCACAACTCCCAATTGTACATGTACATAGTGACCTGTGCTAAGCACATGGTGTCGGGTCTACTTACCCAGATTTCCTCATCTTTGTCATGTAAACTTATAAAATTTCTTCTCTCAATTCCTCGCTCTCAAACAGCTTACTCTAATTAAAAGGAGATGAAAATAAAATGATGTCTTGACTAGACCAGATCCTGAGATGCACTGACTTTGTTTCAACACATCGATCATGAACGACATCATAAATAAATAAACCAATCAGAAACATAGAAATGGAACAGTACAACATAATGGAAGAACCCAGGGAGAAGGAAGAACCAATAGACAGTCTGGAAGGGTGATCATGAGGTGTTCTGAATATAAATGAGAACCAAACAATAGAACCATGTGAAGTGGAAATGAATGGAAATGGGTAGCATGTGGGATGGAAATGGAGTGGAAGAAACAAGGTGTGGCAATGGCAATAAGAGTAATGTGTGAAGACCTGTGAAGATCCACTATGAATATGATGGACAAAGAAAGCGGACAAAATATACAGTTCCTCAGGTAGACAAAGGAACATCCCTTCACTGCTATTATGTAAAAAGGTATGCATGTGACACCTGTTCTACACATTTTTACATAATAGCAGCGAAGGGATGTTCCTTTGTCTACCTGAGGAACTGTATACTTTGTCTGCTTTCTTTGTCAGTCATGTTCATAGTGAGAGAGGATGGAGGTCATGAGTTGAAATGTAAATGAGATGCAAAACAGAGTATGGAAAGAAAAATGTAGAGCCATCAAATGGTACAAAATATAACTGTTACACTCATAACTCAGCCATGATACATTTCCTACCAACATTATTTTGCACATGTCATTTATTTGTAATCTTGAACATTCAGTGCAAGGTTTGTTGGATTCTGTTTACCTGAACTCAAGGAAAGAAAAAAGGAAAGTACTAGTTAGACAGAAATAACCTTCTGGTATGGGTAATTCTTTAATGAAACTGACATTTGTCAACCTTCCCCATAATCTGTAAAGAGGCGGTCAGTGGAGCCAGATTGATGTAGTCAGAAGCAGAAACAAAATAAGACAGTTAATGAAAGGAAGATGTGATAATGAAAGAAATGAAACAGGAGGATTTTGAGAGAAACAAGGGAGAAAGTAACATCAAAAGCAAAGTTTGTCTGGGAAGGGAAATAGATAGATGTTGAAGATGATCAAAGCATATATTATAAAGAAGATAATGAAAAATAGCACAAAAGGGAAACAATTCATTGTATTTATTCAAGGGGAATCAAGGAGCTTAGTAACTTAAAGGCCAAGTCCACTAAAAAAAACCTTACTTTCAATAGAAGCAGAAAAATCAGACAAACCAATCAAAAAAAGTTTAAAGACCTTGACCGGAGCAGAGCATTATATAGACAAATTATATACCTACGGACTCGTGAATATTTACTGAATATGAAAATGCAAACTTCTCGAGATTCCACGGCCTCTGAAAGAAGTATTTAGCATCCGAACCCCAGGATTCACGGACTGAGAGGGGCACCCCGGAGATTTAGTTTCGGCTGCGCTAGCCGGTGGCCGTTTCTACCCGTTTCTGATGACGTCATAACGTGTAGGTTATTTGGCCACTCGGTATTGCAGCTGGTTCTTCGCATGGTGGTCGGTATGTGAAGTTTTCTTCTCTCTTTTTTTGTTGTTGTAAATATCAATGTCGAAGCTGTATTTGGACATTTTACGATTAGAATGTTGACATTTTATATCTGTATTAATTTCACGCTACGTAATATGGAATATCAACCCCAAATTTCCACTAAATTAGATTGAAACGAATCATTTGCCCGCGCTGCTGGCTGCCTGCCTCGGTCTGCGATTGCACAACTTTCAGCAATCTATCGCTGAGCCTCGCGAGAGCACTCGGGCCGCGGCCGGCCCGGCCTGACTTGCCGCGCCGTGTCATGCTGGTGGTCGTGGAATATTTCTCGAACAAAACTAAGTTTCGCTCGCTTTTATCGCACAGATAGCCTTTCCTTTTGCATGGTTTACCAGCATTAAATCAAAGAATTATTTAGATCTACATTGTTTTATTGTCTAGAATATAGTCTGTAAACAATGAAAAATAAGAAGAAGATGAAATGGAGATTTTGAAGAAGAATTGGGCCTAAAAAAGAAGAAAAAGAAAACTAGGTAGTTGGTAGAATCTAGGCCTTGGACTCGTGCCGCCCAGTGGCAGTGCACTGCAGTACAGTGAAGCCAGGAACTAAATTATTTTGAATTGATGTCAGAAATCACATGGGTGCCTCTTCTTGATACTTTCTCGTGATGAAAACACTGTTTTTATTCAAATCAAAATGGTCTAGAGTCTAGATCTAGTGTTGTTGCCAGGGATGATTATTAAAACAAAATCATCGGTCATTTGTTGTTGACTTTGCTTCTTTTTTTTTATCCGACTACAGATTAACTTTGCTTCTTTTTTTTTCTATGAAACTAGCCTCAAGTTGTTCTTTTTGTTTGGATGTGGGTAAAATCCTTATTTATATGCATACGGTGTAATAATACTTTGAAGATGTTTGTCAAAATGCGAGCAAAATATTTACATTTATTTTTAATAATGTACATTCAAGTTTAATTTAGTTCAATTTTGATCATGATATTCATATTTTTTTTTGTGCAATTTTCTAAATGATTAATATTCATTGTGGAATGAAAAAATAGTTTTGGCGAAGGGATGAGATGCTTGGAAATGCCGAGATCATGATTGCTAACTATTTAAATGAACTCTCCTTCACCTTTAGCGCATATATTATATTCCCAATCTTATTACAGGTACAAAGGTGTACGACAAGCTTCGAGAGGAATGGCTGAGGACCAGACTGATGAACGACATTGGGATGATGTCCCCACATGCCCAAACCAGCAAGGTTGAATCATTCCACAACATCCTCCTTCACTTTTGCCCCAAGTTGCTTGTATACTCATATCAAGGGATGAAGTGCAGGTAAATTAGGCAATTAATTCATCAACATTATGCTCCCCTAATATAAATTTAACAAGAACGTCACAGAGGGCAGTGTTGTTTCTTCTTCTTCTTTTGAATTTGATTTTATTGGTTTTATGTTTTAAAGTTATTATTTTCTTTTTGTTATAGCCAGGTTCTTTCTATTTCATATTTTTTTTTTTTTTTTTTTTTTTTATTTATTATTTGTAACACATGCTTTTTACACTAACTCTTGCCTTCACTTATTGGAGAGTAGGTAACGAGTTTATGATGATAGACATTACATTACCAAAAAGATAAAATCAACTGTCACAAGTATGTTATTCATGTGACCTTTATTTTTAACTTCACTCTTTTCAGATTATATTTGGCTGTCCTACATTGGAACGAAAATTGTGATAGAGCCCAGGCTGTTGATGCCGAAGGGAACCCAGTGTACAGGTTGAAGTATCCACGCTCGAAGGAAGGAGGCCACACATTGGAGAGAGTGCTGACAGCTGGCACATGTGGTAAGTAGCCACATGTCTAGTGAATGATATCAATATTCAACAAAAGAGCTCAATTATATATAGAAATCTTTTATTACTTCATGATCAATAGAATTCAAATTAGTAGATTCTTGTGGCCTATATGCCCTTAATTTAATCTGTTGATTAAATTGATAATTATAAACATGTATTGGGTTACTTTCTGCAAATGTGTAATATTGAATAGCAAGCAGAAACAGGCATATATGTCAGTCCCCAAGTCAGTGAACTACCTATTCAGCAAAGAACATGTGCATGCCATTGGTATTTGATTGGTCATCCACCTACAAATAGTGTGTAAAATTAGGTAATTCAATATTTGTGAGAAAAAGAGTTTTCTCTTCTTATGTTCTTATTTTTCTCTTTTCCTTTTTTCCTCTTATCAAAATGTATTTTTTTAACACCGTACAGATGAATTTTCAAGGTATAGTTTTGGATTTTATCTTGTAGGTTATGTGAAAGCCCTGATGAGAGTTGTCGTAGAACTGGTGGAAAACAGGGAGCAGCTCAGAGACAACATGGAGGAGCTACAGCCTCAACCAGCACGGAGTGCCTCTCATCATCACCCCGACAATGGAGAAGCCGTGCAAGCTTTTGAACAACATCATCGCTTTGGCGATAGAAACTAGTTCTTTTGGTGATAGAACCTATGATGAATGTGTCAGCTACCTGAACATTAACCACTGATTGTTTTATTTCAGTACAAGACATGTTTTTCATAGACCCTAAATTATGTTTATGCCAGTATAATTATGGAGAGTAACATGGAAGTACTCTATGCAAGTGAGTAGTGGATTCCGATTCTATGTGAGTGTAAAGCACTAGAAACTTGTCTGTAAGCTTGTACATACTTACACAAGCCAAAGTCCATGGTACACATCGATAGTCATTGGTTTTAATAGGTAAAATACTTATTAAATTTGTAAAACTTACATTTTTAGTTCAATTAAAAACAATTTCTGAAGCATATGCACTAGATTTTCATAAACACTAAGTAAATCACTGTTGATCATGAATTTGGCACCAAATATAATCTGATTTTTCTCACAGTCCTTCATCTTGGCCAATGCTTTTTGCTTCTTATTTGCAAAAAAAAAAAAAAAAAAAAATGCATTTTTTTTTTTCATCTAAACTGTTCTTATTCAAGAACCATTTGATGTATTGCACCAGATATGACTTTATTTTTTGTTTTTGATTTTTTCCCTTTTCTGCCGAGGTGAATTGTGTTATTCATTTTCAAAGTTAGTAGTTTTAAAGATCATGCCATATTATCACAGAAGAGGAAACATTGTGATGATTACTTCATCGCATCCATACTTTTTTTCCTAACAGCGGTTTCCTGTTTGTCCTAAAACCTGGTTATAAAAGATTGAAAAATAATCATCCTTGCAGATATAATAAAAATAGTCATCTATCCTGTAAACTTTACATAAAATAAGGATGAATGTAATGTACATGTTGCATCAAAGTTTTTGTTCCAATGGTGCATCATTTTGAAATATATTGCACAAACAGAGAAGAAAATGATTGGAGGGAAAAACCGTCAATGGGATGTTCTGAGAATATTTTGAGCAAAGGTAAACAAAAATTCATCTAAAGGAACACAAATCTTGTTTGTTTATTTCTATTATAGGTGTCTTGTAGGAAGCTTCATAATTTAAAGATGGAAATTGCTGTGAAAATGAGAGTGAGATAGAGAATGTGAAGGAAGAAGAGGGATAAAGATAGATACCAATAGGGATAGAGTGAGAGATGTGAATGTGATGGATGGAAGAGGAGAAAGAGAGATTGTGAAAGAGTGAGAGATGGGAATGTGATGGATGGAAGAGGAGAAAGAGAGATTGTGAAAGAGTGAGAGATGGGAATGTGGAGGGTGGAGGAGGAAAAGAGAGGCAGAGGGAGAGAGTGAGAGATGGGAATGTGGAGGAAGAGGAGAAGGAGGGACCGAGTGAGAGATGGGAATGTGGAGGGTGGAAGAGGAGAAGGAGGGACAGAGTGAGAGGAATGTGGAGGGTGGAAGAGGAGAAGGAGGGACAGAGTGAGAGATGGGAATGTGGAGGAGAAGAAAGAGAGGAGGGACAGAGTGAGAGATGGGAATGTGGAGGGTGGAAGAGGAGAAGGAGGGACAGAGTGAGAGATAGGAATGTGGAGGGTGGAAGAGGAGAAGGAGGGACAGAGTGAGAGATGGGAATGTGGAGGAGAAGAAAGAGAGGAGGGACAGAGTGAGAGATGGAAATATGGAAGAGGAAACAGAGAGAGGAAGTGGGATAGAGAGATGGGAATGTGGAGGGTGGAAGAGGAGAAAGAGAGAGGAAGAGGGACAGAGTGGGAGATAGGGTTAAGGTTTATCCTTTTTGGGAGGATAGATTTGATGCAAAATAAAGGATTTCCTGGATTTATTACGATGCTTACCATTTATCACACATTTGAAATTTCGTCAACCGCAATTCCCTTCTCTTACTCTCATTATTCCTCTGTCTATCTTTGTTGTGTCCATGCTGTTATTTCTCTTTCTCTCAATTTCGTTTTCTCTTTCAATTTCATTTTCTCTTTCTCTCCCCTTTTCTGACTCGGCAGGTTGACTGTATATGAAATGCTCAAATTATTAAAACAAATTACATTGCAGGGTGTATAACAAAAGAGAAGGAACAAGGCATGTTGTGTTTTTTTTTTTTTTTTGTTGTTGTTGCTTGTTTATATAGATTTCAACATTCTTCCTCATAAGAAATCGTTGCTTGATCACAGTTTTGCAAAAGTTCGAATATCAGCTCTTGGAAATTAGAATCAAATGTCGAGATCAAAGTTCATAGCAACCATACCATCATGAGAAGTTCAAACAATAGTATTTGTGATGAATATGAAGATGAAAGCCGATGATCACAAATAACGTACAGAAGATGGCTGACAATCACATAGAAGATGACAGTCATTCAAAGTTCGCAAGACAATAGTTGATGTTACATCCTCATCTCAACCGACGCAGGATGGTCCCTTTGTACTGACCACGTCCATCAGGATACGCTTCCATTATTGAGGCATGGACACATGCTGGCAGTTGCACCCTGATGTCCTTCCCGAGCCAGCCCCAACACCATCTCACGACTTTCCTGTAGGCCACATACCTGTATTTTCTGTAAAATAAAAAGCAATAAAAAAATTTCATTATTTTTCTTAGGATAGATGATTTGATGTCAAAATATTAATTCTTTATTAATTAATTCAGGAAAATAAAAATGATTAAAAAAAACTAAAATGACCAAGGGTTAGTCATTGTTTGTCGGGCGGTGGGGGGCAACATTCAAAATCGCATATAAAGTTTGTGTTTCATAACTACAGATTATTGGGGGGGGGGGGGGGTAACATGCTAAAACTCACAAACCGGTGGTCATTCTTGCCTATTTGTATACATTTCCTGAAAAAGTGCCCCGAAGCACCTGCAGATAAGGCAGCTAGTACACCAGTGGTCACCAGGCAAGAATTTTGGTCAAAACTAGTAATTCATCTTGCGGTGACTCAATTCGTTTTGAAAAGTTTCACCCAATAAACTTTCAAAATCAATCCATTTATTTTTTAGCCCTTGCCAAAATGATGAAAAGGAGAAACATAACTTACTCATTGTTCCTGTCCCCAAATGCTTTGGCTGCTCGGCGCCACCTATCTGTGTACTCCATCCATCCGATGTACAATGTTGTCGCATTTAGGATGGCCGGCTCAAACTCCTCAGAATCCACCAGACAACTTGAACCCTGTCGATCAGCCTCTGCCTTGACCTCTGCAATTTCCTGACAACAGACACAATCACCTTCATTGAAAGATGGAGGCACACGACATCTTCCACATGTACACCTTGAAATACAGAAAGATTCAAACAAAAATCAATACACCTACTATAATTTTATAAATATTTTATTACAGCTTCCTGATAAATATAAAAATGACATCGTTCTCGTAGTCGTAGTATGGTAAGAGTGCCCAAGGCAGTGCCTATGTCTGCGCACCCACGTAAATGCGCGATATTTATAGAACAAAACATCAAACTGACACCAATTTTCAATCTTAACCTCAACAATTCATTTAGATACCAAAATTTGTGAAAATAATTGGGAAGATTAAAAATGAGTTTTAGCAAGTTTCATTTGCCACCCTGAAAATTTCAATCATTGTCAAAAAAGAAAAGTCTGAACAGGGGGTTGTCCCTGGTATGAAACTTCACTGTGCTTGATTGAATTGCGTGCAAAATAGTGAGTGCGCAGATATGGGCACTTTTCAGTTTTGCTACACAAAATGACGAGCCCGTCTGAAATTCGTTAAAAAAAATTGTTCTTGTGAATAATTTGTCGAGTTTTTTTGTTTCAGTAATCATTAGAATATGAAGAACGGAATAACAATGATGATTCTAAAAATAATATCTTACTGTGTAATGAAATCGAGGTCGAATTTTAGGTGCGCAGACATAGATCTAGAGAATCATTTTAACAAGTTAACTTTAGAATTAGACATGCCATTTATGACCGAGTCTAGAGATCTACGGTATTTGATTTCAATTTTGGGGGGGGGGGGAATAAATATTTAGAATGCACAACAAATTCAATAAGCTTATAAGTCTTAATTACCAATCCTCGACATTTTCATGAAGCCGATTTGCGTTGTTGGCCCTTCCAGCATCGCCAACATTTTGCCCAGGTTCACCACGAGGTAAAGGCTCATACTCCCACTCGACGATACGCCCGTGTTCTCCGGCGTCTGCATCACTTGCATCGCTGTCGGTATCACTGCTGCTGCCAGTACTGTCCGGACTGTCACTACTACCACTGACACTGTCATTTTCACCGCTTTCCCCGCAACTGCCATCCTCCTCACACTCAAATTCCATAACTAAATCATCTTGTGCATCTGCCCTGACGACTGGGGTAGCCATTCTCTTTAGAAAGACTTCTCAAAACTTCTCAAACTTCAATCGATAAAAAGCAGAAAGGATTCACGGTAGCCTACGCAAAATCAATGTAGATCTCGAACATCGCGCGGCGAAGAATTACAGCAAACAATTCGAGTCTACACGAAATGACGTCACCCAAGTCCGTGCGGCGCGGGGGCTCTTGACCGAGGCGAATTTGGGAGGGGGCGGCAGTTGTACTGTAATTTTCATTTTTCTCAGTAATGAAAGGGTATTTAATTTTTTCTTTCTTGTATTTGTATTTTGTGTTTCATTAGCCGTCTGTGGATGTATGGTTGTTTACGCTCCGGTCAAGGTCTTTAAGTAAAATCGATAACTACCGGTAATAAGAAAGTTATGAATTTTTGAAAAAGTATGAAAAGTATGGAACAATAGAAATCACTACACAAATTACCAATTTGGTTATCAGTTTGTGACGTCATTACCTCACTATTTATCAATTGCTTTATATATTTCATCCATTCATTTCCCTTTTTATCCCCCAAAACTTGATTTTCCCATGCCTTTGCCCAAGTTATATAGTTTGTATCATATTGCGTGCATGACATTTCACAAAATCTTTTATGAACTTTGAAGAATTGATACTATTTCATAAATATTGTATATTCATAATTATCGATTCTTTCATAGGTCTAAATAGTTTTATCAAAATTCATATTTTTCATGATTTAGATCTAACTAACTGAAAAAATAACTCTATATAAGTGCATCCACACAAAAACATATTACCATCAACATAACTTGGATGCTGGTGTGAGGAAATAATTCTTAGGGGGGAAATTGGAAATTTATATTATCAATATAAAAAAAAAAAATTAGATCTAGATCTAGACTAGTAGTGGATAGTGAGGCAATGGGGTCACAGACTCGTGAGTTTCCAATTTCTCTTGTGATTCTCAAAGTTTTGCATGTCAATTAAAATTCATAGAAACTTTTCGTATTAGACTAGTTATCTGATTTTGCTCAAATTTGTTCGATTGATTTTTCTGATCTTCTGCTAATAACTTTGAAATGGACTTGGCCTTTAAATATGCAAAACTGCAAAAGAGAAGGTGCGCATGCGGAACATTTAAAAACCAAAACCAAAACTTCTTACAAAACTGAATGACAATTCAACGAAAATGGTTAAGGAAAAACACAATTAAATAGAAAAAG